CACCTGAGCACATTCATTCTCTAGCCACAGGAGTGGGGTCCTTCTAACTATGGGACAGGCCACACATGCAGTAGGGTGAGTGAACATCTCCAGGCCTGACCCTCAACCAGCGAGAGATGGGAACTGTGGAATAAAACTGTTGGTTCCCTGCCCCTCCTGAGGGCAGGCTGACCTTATCTCTTAGAGGGTTGCCAGGGAAATTGAGCCCTGCTTCTTCGGGGCCATAACCTACTCACAAATGCACTGTGTACTGGCTTCCTTCCTTTCCCTGCTTTGCTTCCTCATTCCCCTACCTGTGCTTCCTAAGAGCATTTCCCCCAAAACTACTTGTCCCCAAATCCTTGCCTCACGGCCTGCTTTTGAGGAAACCCAACCTAGAGACATCAGCCATCAGCAAAATACTGTAATGATTAATTTGGATAATATCATTAAAACCCTGAAAGCAATGCCTGTCTCTTAGTGCAAAATGAATGGAACAGTCATTTTGACTGTTTTCCCTCAAGGTCGCCCATGCAACCATGTAATTTATCATACAATTTGGACATTTTTGAGAATGAAAGGGGGCGCCATGTTAATTGCTCAGGGAACACAGATGAAAACTAGGACCGTCTGTAGGAAACCAGGATGTATTGTCACCCAACAGTCATGACTTAAGTAGAAAGGGAATTCTCCATACAAAGGAAATTCTACCCCAACACTATAAACACCCGTAACTGTTTCATAATTTCATATTTTTATGTATTATCCTTTCTTAAGTGGAGGCTCACCTTATCGTAGCCCTTTAGGGCCTAGACAGGGTAATATTAAACTTCTCATTTGTAAGTTAGCAGTGCAGTTGTCACTTACAAAGAACTGACAAGGCATATCACACACAGAAGTGCATTAGGTCTAAACGTAGTGAAAAGGACTGTTCAGACTTCTGGTAGAATAGAAAATTGAATTTTGAGAGAGTAAAAACTTCAGATGTAGAAAGCTAATACCCAAGTGGTATGCATTTGAAAGAATATTAAGATCACTGTCTAAATAGTGTTGACTGAGAGTGGCCACTTCTCACAGTGAAAACAGAGAATCAAAACTCCAGTGAAGGCTGGAAGAAGCCTTATAGCGTCTAATCTGGTGGATCCCAAGTGCAGCTGCCTCTCCAGATCATCTGGAGGAGCTTTTGTAAATAAGCAGAAAATTGGTCCTTATCCATGGAGGCCACACCTGGCCTAGAGCAGGGGTCAGCAAACCATGGCCCCCAGGGAAGCTGGCCAAATCCAGCTACATTCATTTGTGTACATTTCATCCTGGGCTGCTTTGATGACACAGTGGGAGACTTGAGCATGGCAGTTGCAACAGACATCATACAAGCTACAAAGTCTAAACTATTTCCTATCTGGCCCTTTATAGAAAAAATCTGCTGACAGCTGGCCTAGAGGAATCAGTATTTTAAAAAGCTTCCCGGGGCTTCCCTGGTGGTGCAGTGGTTGAGAGTCCGCCTGCCGATGCAGGGGACACGGGTTCGTGCCCCGGTCTGGGAGGATCCCACATGCCGCGGAGCGGCTGGGCCCGTGAGCCATGGCCGCTGAGCCTGCGCGTCCGGAGCCTGTGCTCCTCAATGGGAGAGGCCACAACAGTGAGAGGCCCACGCACTGCAAAAAAAAAAAAAAAAAAAAAAAAAAGCTTCCCCGTAGATTCTGGTGCACAGCCAGGTTTGGGAAGTACTGATGACAATTTGCGCCTTGCATTTATAAAAACACTAAGCTGAGAGGCCCAGAGAGGTGAAGTGACTTGCCCGAGGTTGCAAAGCCAAGACAAGTCTGAGAAACTTCTCCCTTTTTAACCCCCATCTTCCTCCCGCAGCACCCTCCCTCCCTAAATGATGATCCTAGCTTCTGTTAGAAACCAGCCTCTTCACTGGACCACTGTGGGGCTCAGCTGGCAGCAATCAGCTCCCTGGCCAACAACATTTGATGATGAATAATACAGTGACTTGGCTTGGCATCCATCACCCTAACTTTCCTGCATGCCAGAACGCCTTCACTTTGTCATGGGCACCATCTGGATAGAAAACCATGTGGAATTTCCAGCAAATGGCATTTGATAGACATGTGCCACAGAAATCTCTTAAGTGAAAAGCTTGTCAAGAGTGAGGGGTTACACATCCCAAAAAAGAATCATTCATTCATTGGTTCACTGATTCAGCAAACATTGATTGGGTGTTTTACTATAAGCCAAGCACAATGCCAGGCTCAGGGAGTTTAGTCTCTGTCTTTATGGATCCTATGGTTTGATGAAGGAGGCAAACAATACATAATAGATAACTAGTAAAAAATAGATAAGTAGATAGGCAATTGCAATTGCCATGTGCGACACAGACGAGGCACAATATGACAGAAACACAAGAGGCAACAATTACAAAATGCCTGTTATGCTCCAGGCACTTTTTTTACATGCTTTGTATGTACTGACATTTAATGTTCACAATAGTCCTGTGATGGTAGCTACGATAATAACCCGTATTTTACAGATGGGGAAACAGGTTGGTTAATTGGCTTGCCCGAGGTCATATGGCTAAGAAATGGTGAGGCCGGGATGTAAATATACACAGTCTAGCTTAAGAGTTATAAACCATCGTGTTTTATGCCCCTAAAAATGGATGCAGACCTAAGAAAGAGCCATTGAAGCTGATCTGGTGTCTTTTGTGATGCCTGGAGCACACATAATGAGTACAGAATAAATGTATGAATGAATGAATGAATTAATGTATACATAGTATAGCTATGTATGTATATCTTTAAGAATTCTATCTGGCATAAAATGAACTGTTGTGAGTCCTGCATTACCCATCCTCATTTTTTTCCCTTTCTGAGTGTTTGAGCTATTATCACCTATTTCAGCCAAAACATTGCTGCACTCTCATGTGAAAGGTGAAATGCGATAATTAGACAGAGCTCATTAAATCAGTTAAATGATCCTGAAGTAGGAACCAGAGAACCATGATTTACTAAAATGTTTCAAGTATTAGTATGCAGCGAGAATAATAAGGCAAACTCTTACAAGACTGCTATAACAAAAAAGCCCATCGATCATAAACACAGAAGCACCAAAGACGTATTTATTGCCTTTTCTTAGCATAGAAAGCACTGTGCAAAAGTGCACGTGTTCAGAAAGAATTCAGCTGATTCACATTCTCAGGGAGTGTGTGTGTCCTAAAGGTTTGTAAGGATCAGATTCTTCTGAGGCTACTTGAGGGGATTCAGCAAGCAGGCACCCTTCAAACCAGTTTAAAGTGACATCTTTGTGAACCTGACGCTGTGGGTCTTTGAAACAAGTTAGAGTGCCTTTTGCCACCTGGTAGAAGAGCCACGCTCTCTGCTGTCCCCAAACAAGAAGAGAATCCACCAGGTGCACTGTCTGACTGCAAGGGTGCTTTTCCAGGCCATGTTTAAATCTTAACAGCCAACTTTGATGCTCTTTGGAATTAATACCCTGAAAGTGTCCAAGCATTTGTTCAGCTCTTGGGATATTTAACCCATGTGAAATGAAAGGGGGGAATGTTTGGTGACTGTATAATTTTTGAAGTCCTCAAAGCTTTAACATGGTTGGATAGCTCAGATGTCCACCTTCCTTGTTCAGTCCTTGTACATGGAGGAAATAGCCCTTGCCTACTCTTGGGCTAACTCCTACTTTAAGGCCCAGTTGAACCTAGTCTGAAATGATTCAGCATGAGTTTTTTGAGAAGACAACATTTAGTGAAAGTTACAACTTTAGGAGTTCTGGACGTGCCACACAAAATATGCTGCTTTGTTGGTATATTGATTATTTTGAGATATGGACACTTTAAAAATGTATATATATATTTTATTGAAGTATAGTTAATTTACAATGTTGTATTAGTTTCAGGTGTGTAGCACTGTGATTCAGTTTTATTTATTTATATATATACACACACACACATATATATATATATATATATATATTTATTTTTCAGATTCTTTTCCCTTATGGGTTATTACAAAATATTGAGTATAGTTCCTTGTGCTTTACCGTAGATTCTTGTTGGTTATCTGTTGGTTTTTTTTTTAAATTTTATTTATTTTTATTTTTGGCTGTGGTGGGTCTTCGTTGCTGCACACAGGCTTTCTCTAGTTGCGGCGAGCGGGGGCTCCTCTTCGTTGGGTGCGCAGGCTTCTCCTTGCCGTGGCCTCTCTTGTGGAGCATGGGCTCTAGGCACACGGGCTCAGCAGTTGTGGCTCTCAGACTCACAGGCTTAGTTGCTCCGCGGCACGTGGGATCCTCCTGGACCAGGCCTCAAACCCCTGTCCCCTGCATTGGCAGGAGGATTCTTAATCACTGCGCCACCAGGGAAGCCCTGGTTATCTGTCTTATATATTGCAGTATGTATCCCAAACTCCTAATTTATCCCTCCCTCACCCTTTTCCCCTTTGGGAACCATAAGTTTATTTTCTTAAATAATTTATTTTATTATTATTATTTTTTTAGATGGAGAATTTTAATTAAATTGGCATAGTTAAGACCAAAAAAGGTAAAGTGGACATTGTCAGTGTATCTTCAGCCCTTGCCTTAACAGGTGAATGAACACAACTTGAAACACAGGTGAATCTTGCTGGTCTGTGAGACAGTGAAGGGAGCTTCTCAATATTTAAGTATATTAATATAACCAGTTACAGAAATCTAAATATAAAACCAATCTCCTATAGGGTTTGAGAAGGCATTCACCATATCCCTGAAAAGTTTAACATTCCTTATTCAGGTTTAATCAGCTCTTTAGAAGGGGAAAACAGTGATAGTACTTGCTGAGCCAGAATTACTATCAAAATTCAAAAAGCTGACCATATTCATTTAGCCACGAGCCAATCTTATTTAAATCAGGACAGAAATATTACATCAGCCATTCATGATCTGAATTCTAGTGTATGAGATCAGTTTAAATATGGTACACATAAAATGTCATGAGACATTTGTTTCATAATAAATAAGGCAGTGGCCAACTATTACTCTTTAGTAGCTTTTTTGAGATAAGCTATCAAGTCTGCCCTTTCTCCCTTCTTCTTAATGCCAGCGAAGATCATTTTTGTTCCAGGGATGTACTTCTTGGGATTCTCCAAATACTCCATCAGTGTCTCCTCTCCCCAGGTGATGCCTTTGTTCTTGTTGGCATCTGTGTAAGAGAATCCGACAGCCTGACCTGTCTTTTGCCCAAACAGACCATGGAGATTTGGCCCAGTCTTGTGCTTGCCTCCCTTTTCTGCAGTATGGCACTGGGCACACTTCTGAACAAAGATCTTCTTGCCCTTCTCAACATCACCCTTTTTTTTTTTTGCGGTACGTGGGCCTCTCACTGCCATGGCCTCTCCCGTCGTGGAGCACAGGCTCCAGACGCGCAGGCTCAGTGGCCATGGCTCACGGGCCCAGTCGCTCCGCGACATGTGGGATCCTCCCGGACGTGGGCACGAACCCGTGTCCCCTGCATCGGCAGGTGGACTCTCAACCACTGCGCCACCAGGGAAGCCCTACCTGCAACAAATCTTATTCTCTGTTCTGCAACTTTTTATCTCTATGGGAATGGAAAAGTGTCATACCTTTAAAGGTTAGAGCCTTGAGAATGGGCTACCCTGTATATTTCAAGCAACATTCTTAACTTGTAGCAAAAGCACTAGAATACAAAGGTTAAAGTGAAAGAAACAGATGTAATATGGAGTCAGATTTGTTCTTCCCTATTACAATTACATACCCAGCACATGTGTGGCCCATTGTAGAAGTCTAGTAAGTAGCTGTACAGTGGAGGAATATGTCCTGGAAACTAATGAGTTCTATTTCACACCATCTATGGGAGCTTTCTGAAGCTCTATGGTGTAATTCTTATTACTGGTTTAATATTTCCTCATGGGGCTTCCCTGGTGGCGCAGTGGTTGAGAGTCCACCTGCTGAGGAAGGGGACACGGGTTTGTGCCCCGGTCCAGGAAGATCCCACATGTCGCGGAGCAGCTGGGCCCGTGAGCCATGGCCGCTGGGCCTGCACGTCCGGAGCCTGTGCTCCGCGACGGGAGAGGCCACAACAGTGAGGCCCGCGTACCGCCAAAAAAAAAAAAATTTCCTCATGAACTCTCTTAGTTTGAGTTCCTCCAAAACAGAACCTAAAGCAGGATCTTGAGTGCAGGAGGATAATTTGCGAGATTTCCAGGAAGCAGGAGGGAGGAGTGGGGGCAGCTGTGAGAGCAGGGAAGGAGAAAAAGCCAAGAAAGACATCTCTGTGGGCAACTGGTGCTCATTTCTGCAAGGACCCTGACTGAGGCCCAGAGGCCGGGGCATTTGTCCACAGCTCCCTCATTGTGGAGGGTTGCCACAGGGTTCTTACCTTCCCTACCTCTAAAGAAGCAGAGAAGGACAGTGGAAGCGTTAATGGGAGCTGTCAAATTTGCCAAAAACCCACCTTGGCTGAGACTGAAATCATGAAAATGTCCGGCTACTTGACCAGAAAATGTTTTCTCTTTCATTTCTTATTGTTGAAGTATAGCTTACAATAATCTACAGCTTAACAAGGATTTACACCACATCTTCTTTAATCTGTCCATGGACATTTAGGTTGCTTCCATGTCTTGGTCCTTATAAATAGTGCTGCAGTGAACGTCGGGGTGCATGTATCTTTTCGAATTATGCTTTTTGCTCCACGTATAGGCCCATGAATGGGATTGCAGATAATGCTTTGGGTTTTTTTTTTTTTTTTTTTTTTTTTTTTTTTGCGGTACGCGGGCCTCTCACTGTTGCGACCTCTCCCGTTGCGGAGCACAGGCTCCGGACGCGCAGGCTCAGCGGCCATGATGCATTCGTTTTTTTAAGGAACTTCCATAGTGTACTCCACTGTGGCTGTTACCAACTTACATTTCCAAAAACAGCTTAGGAGGGTTGCCTTTTCTCCATGCCCTCTCCTGCATATTTTGTATATAGATTTTGATGATAGTCATTTAGACTGGTGTAAGGTGATTCCTTGTTCTAGTTTTGATTTGCAGTTTTCTGATAATTAGCCATGTAGAGCATCTTTTCATGTGCATTAAAAAAAAAAATCAAAAACAAAAACAAAACAGTGTGCATTAAATTTACCTCTTGAAATTGGTTTCTTAAAAGTCCGCCCTGATTTGAATTCTTTTTCGATCAGGTACCCCAGGACATTTCTTGAGGGCAGGTGTCCTTTAGAGCAGGGGTCCCCAGCCCTCGGGCCTCGACTTGTTAGGAGCCAGGCCTCACAGCAGGAGGTGAACACGGGAGAGCTAGCAAAGCTTCATCAGCGACTCCCCAGCGCTCCCCGTCACTCCCATTGCCACCTGAACCTTTGCTCGCGTTACCGACTAAACGATCCCCCCCATCTCTCCTGTTACCGCTGGAACCATCCACCCCATCGCTTGCATTACTTCCTGGACCATCCCCGCCCCTGTCCATAAAATTGTCTTCCATGAAACCAGTCCCTGGTGCCGAAAAGGCTGGGGACCCCTGCCTTAGAGCCCCACAGGCCTTGTTATGAAGTGTCCCTTACGGGGATACCTAGGACCGGTTTTAAAGTTGTTGTTACGGTAAATGCCCACAAGGTGGCAGCATTTTCCATGCCCCACTCGGGTTACTGGCAACCGGAGCCTTAGAGAAAGTCCTGTTACTGGGTCGTAGATTCGAGTGGACTGTGGCCGAAGAAACACCCCAGAGCTCGTGTTTCCTTACCTCTTTCTCCTTTTACCCTTCGCCCCCTCTCCCCCCACGACAATTCCCAAGCCCTGCCAAAACCGCTATGCTGAGCTTTTTGTCGTGCGGAGGTGGGGAGACTCCGAGGAAGGAGGCTGCCCATGGGAACCCCACCACCAGGAGACTTGGAGACCAGGTGATTTTTCAAAGCTCATGCACCGTGAGGGTCTACCGACCTTTGGGTGCACTAGGCTTGGTTGAGCTGTAAGAGCGCCCGCCTGGATCTGGAGGTTGTGGTCCACCTGGCAGGTCCAAGAGAGGCTCATTTGCTGGCACCTGCTTCCCAGTTCCCCCACCTCCACCACGTCTAGACTTGGGACCCAAGGCTGCTTCTGGCTCCAGGGATGTGACACCAGCCTAGGTCACCGAGCCCTCAAGGGAATATCGTTGGCATTTCTTCTCTTTCCTTTTCTTTTGAAATTTAATTTTTATTTTATTTTGGAATATAGTTGATTTGCAGTGTTGTGTTTGTTTTGGGTGTACTGCAACCTGAATCAGTTATACAGATACGTATATCTATTGTTTTTAGGATTCTTTTCCCATATAAGGTATTACAGAGTGTTGAGTAGATTTCCCTGTGCTCGACAGTAGGTCCTTTGATTATCACTTACATATATATTACTGTGGATATGTTAATCCCACCCTCCTAATTTATCCCTCCCCACCCCCATCTTTCCCCTTTGGTAGCCATAAGTTCATTTTCTAAGTCTTTGAGTCTTTTTCTGTCTTGCTAGGGAGTGCGTGTGTGTCATCGTTTTAGGTTCCTCATTTAAGTGCTGTCGTATTTTTTTTTGTCTGACTTCACTTCTTACGATAAACTCTAGTTCCATCCATTTTTCTGCAAATGGCCGTCTTTTCTAAACTGATTTTCTAATCTAGATAGAAATGGGAAGCTGTCCTCTGGAAGTGTATTAAAAATTTTTTTCTTTTAATGTAAAGAGAAAACATCAGTGCAAATTGGGTGCCGACTTTAATGTTTTTTGGAAACAAAAAATTGGCCCTGGGTGTGAACCCCTCTGCCTTCGCCATGTTTTCATTTCACTGGAGTGTAGCACTGATCCTCGTGCAGTGAAGAAGCCAATGCCCCTGTGACCCACCCTGAGTTCCCTCCCTTACTTGCCAAATCCTGGTAGAAAGATTCCTGTTTTTTATGTAGATTCGTATTTCCTTTTCTCTGTCTTTCTGTTCAAGATCACTTATTTCTCTTTTTCTTATTATGTAAGCAGTGCATTTTTATTCTGGAAATTTTAGAAAATACAAGAAAGATCAAAGAAAGAAAGAACAGTCATTTATATTTTCCTTACTTAGATACAGCCAAGCTCACCTTTTTGTATATTTTCTTTTGGCACTTGATCCAGGTATTATGAAAATGACAGGGTTCTGTTCATAGCATATTTAAAACTCTCACTTATTTTGGACATTTTTCTATATTGGTAAATATGGGTAAACAGTTTCTGCCCTCCGTACCTCCCACCTCCCTCCATCCTCCTTCGGTTTCTTTCTGCATTCCTTTCTTTTGTAAAAATAATTCTGTCTTTTGTCTGGTTGGAAAAGTGGTCATGTAAAAAAAAATACACACGTACACACACACACACAGATATACACATACATGTATACACATGTGTGTGTTTATTAGACCACTCAGAAAGAACTTCTACCATCTAGAGTGGGAGTCAGCTAACTTTTTTCTAAAGGACCAGACAGTCTGTGTTGTAACAACTCAACTGTGCATTATGGTGCAAAAGCAGTCCTAGAGAAAGTGTAAAAGAATGAGCATGACTGTGTTCCAATAAATCTTTATTTACAAAAAACAGCAGACAATCCTGAAACTGTGGTTTGCTTGGCCCAGTCTAGGGCAAAGCACTAATTATTTAACTTCCAGAAACACATACCTATTTTTTTCCCACAAAAATGGAATCATACTACATAAGCTGTCTTGGATGTATTTAAATATTTATTGGTGTCCGTTATGTGCCAGCTCATATATAGTGGTGTATACAATGTTGAATAAGACTGACAGGCTGTCTCCTCCCGTGGTGTGTACTGCCAGGGACACAATGAAAATCATAAGTGCTCTGAAAGTCATGGGGGGATGTGATAGACAAAAGTCAGCATTCTAGTGTATCATAACTTTTGCAACCAATCCCCTATTCAGGAGCATTTAATTTCCTTAATTGTTTCTATTGTAGACTTTCCTGTCGTAAACATTTTAGGATTAAGTCTTTATGAAAAACCATCATTTTTTACTTGGGCTCAAATTCCTTAAAGTGAAATCCCTGTGTCAAAAGGAATACAAATTTTTTTGGTCTTTTGCTAAGCATTACCAAAGTATTTTCTAGAAAACTTATACCAACTTACACTTTCACCTGGCCTTTTTTTTTTTTTTCTCCCCTTGCTTCCTTTGTGCAGCCAGACTGAGTTTCATGAATTGAGAAAGTAAAATGAAAGTGGCATAAGTCTAAGCCGTGAAATAGAAATAAAGAGATAGGGAATCATTCGTGGGAGAGGAGCCCAGTTTCAGATGTTTTGTCTTCAGGGGTTTCCTGTGTTCTGCTCCCTATGTAATAGTTAGAAATAAATCTCAGAAGTTCTGTAGTGCTAGCTGACACCAGTTATTAACTGCCTTCACCACGTGCCAGAAGCTCTGGTAAGCCCTTCACGTGCATGATCTGAATTAAGCCTCAGAACGGCCTGATGATGGTGGAGCCCGACCACGGCCGGGTCTCTTTGAACTAGAGTAGAAATGTCAAGCTGGGAGCTCCGCGGTCTGCTTTCTTTGGCTCACACAGTGTGGCCCAGCACAGCATTTAAACATTTATCGACGTAGTTCCAAACATTTTAAAACTGGAAAATGTCACAGAAAATCTATATTTAAAACTTTGGAAAAATTGCAAGACCTGGGCACACTGGGGTCATACTCCCGCTTGCTGACAGTGGGTGGGTCGTGGGGGGCTTTTTCTACACAAGGGACGTGTGTTCTGATAATGATATTATTGAGCTAAGATTAGCTGCCACTAAGCAATTCCTCCTTCAAACCGATAGTAACTCTGTGCTTGGGACACGGCAGGGAGCTGTGGGGAGAATGCATGCCCCTCCTCCTCCAAGCCACTTCCTTACTTATTTACTTGCCTGAGTTTGTTGCCTGGATGTTAACTATGGGACGAGACAGGACTGAGGAGAAGGGGGGCAGATGTGGGTCCAGCCGTCGCCGTGACCCAGCCCAGGCTCTAGAGGAGGGGACGCTTCAGAGGCTCACTTAGGTGAGGGTGTCCCAAGCTGTTGGGGGGACAGCCTGTAAAATGACTCTTGGTCTCTGGGTGTCTGCCTTCCTCCTCTTACATCCATCTTTCTCATTCCTGTTTTATTCACCACCTAAATTCTTTTTTAGTACATGTCACCACACACTTCTGGGCCACGTGGGTCTCCCTACCCCATCTCGCCTTAGGAAGTAATGGACTTGGCCATTTTCAGCCTGTTGTCTCCTTCTTTTCTTAGTACATCTCCGCCAAATGCTTGCCCCACAGCCTGGCCGTGTGCCCATCTGTTGCCCATTTGGAGCGTGTGCACCCATTGGTTTTCTGCTAGGAGTGGCTCTGGCGTTTGTTCACCTCCTAACTCTCTGTGGCTGGAGGGCACACGGGGGCTCTGTCAGACCTAGTGGCTTTGGAAGCCAGAGCTTGGCTATCTCAAGTCTTCACTTCGTGTTTTGTTTATTTAGAGCCACAGAGTGCAACGACGAAGTCACCTTTACGTATGTGCGCTTCCCATACACCAGCCACTGTGCCAAGTGAGGGGTACCAGGAAGGAAAGGGCAGTGAGGGAGTCAGAGGTGCCAGCAAAGGGTATGAACCAGATCCAAGTGTGGCCTCTGCACCAGCAGGGAGTAGATTCAGAAACTCCTCGTGGCAGAACGCACCAGGTCAAGGAGACTTCTAGAAGGTGCTGCAACCAAAGGCTTCATGCCAGGAGAGAGCTCTTAAAAACACCCAAAGTCGGGGCTTTTAATGTGCGTCCTATTCAAGCCCCACTTCCTCCTTAAGCCCACCTGAGTGCCTCTGTCTTCAACAAACTCTTCTGTCTCCAAACTTCTGTCCAGTACAGAAGCCATTAGCCACCTGTGGCTGCCGATCATCTGCAGTGTGACCAGGCTAAGTTGAGATGTAATGTAAATATAAAATACACGCAGGGTTTGAAGGCTTAGGACACACACAAAAATAGAATGTAAAATATCACATTAATAAACTCATATTGTTTACACGTCGAAATGACATTATTTGACTATATTGGATTAAATATATTATTCTGTCTTTTTACTTTTATTAATATGGCTATTAGAAATTTGAAAATTACATATGGACATCTCATTTGTGGCTCAAGGGAGAGTCCCGCTGTAGAGCTCTCCCTGACTCAGCCACATCAAATATGGTTCTCTATGACTTTGCCATATATTTGTTACATATACATATATGTGTGTGTGTGTGTGCGTGTGTGTGCATGTAAGTATAGTATATATTCTCAGTCTCTCTAACTAGGTAGAAGACAGGACTAATGTCTCGTCTCGTTCCTCTGTGTTTCCTCACTCTCTGCCCTGCCAAAGTGCCCCTTTTGCTATTAAAGACCCAATGTGTGTTTGATAACAATTCTTTCATTCATTTTACAAATATTTGTTGAACTCAGACTCTGTGCTAGGTTCCTCTGGGAACTTAATAAACTTTAACTCA